TTAATATTATTTAAATAATTATTCAGTGTGTAAATTATTGATTAACATACGTATATGTTTATTCCGGTATCTTCGGTAAATATTTTGTTAACATAGATATGTAGTAACAAATAAATATCTAATAGATATCTTTGGTAGCTGTTTAGTAAACATGGATGTGTAGATAATTATTAGATATCTACTAGTTATCCATAATGGATGTGGATAGTGTATAGATATGTGGATATCCAGTAGATATCTATTATATATTTTGTTCTGTATGGGAAGCTTTCTGCAGTTTAGAATTCCACGTAAAAGAAGCATCTTTCTTCAAAAGAACTTCGAATGGTGCCTTTAAACGATGAAGATTTTCTACAAATTTTCCGTAGTAATTAATAAGGTCTAAAAATGAACGTAGTTCCTTGACATTTCTCGTAATTCGCATAGAACGGATTGGATGTATTCGTGAAGGAACCGGAATTGAATTCCATCTGACGAAATGAGGAATCCGAGATATCTTACAGAAGTAGAATTGAACTTGCATTTTTCCAAACGTAAACGGAAACCCCATTCTTCAAGCCGAGTTAAAACTGCATGTAATCGAGCGTCATGCTCGGAATGTTCACGGCCGCAGATAAGAATATCATCCAGGTACACTACAACTCCACCTGAAAACATTTGTTCCAGAGTACGCTGAAAGATAGCCGGAGCTGTTTTCAAACCGAAAACCAAACGAGATGCTATGAAATCTCTTTCTGCAGACGCTCGAACGCTCTTACAAACCCCCAGGAAGGCGGAAACTATTCCAATGGCACATGGACGATATGTACATTTTGGTATTGCAAAAGGCTTACGTCACATTATTGAAACAAGCGGCACCACTTGTATACCTAAAGAAATTCATTTATCGTTCAACATAGACGGATTACCGCTTATCGGAAGTTCCAAGAACCAATTATGGCCAATTCTGGGAAGTTTCAGAAATTTAAAAAATAAAGAACCATTCATCATTGGAGCCTTTCACGGATATAAAAAGCCTCCAGGTGCTGAAGAATTTTTAAAGTACTTCGTCGAAGAAGCTGAGAGTCTGATAGAGAATGGATTTACCTGGAAAGGCATTAACAGTAAATTTATTATTGACTGTTTCATATGCGATGC